AGCAGATGTAGCATTCAGAAAATACCTGTGAATCCTGCCATGGTGGCAGCAGAATATCAGGAAAAGAATGCAGCAATGGAATAGTGTGACACGTCATTCTAATAAGCAGCCTTTTTAAAGTGTCCACATAGATCCAATGGAGTATGTGTATGTATCCAGACCCATATTTATAAGGATAAAGGTCATATATGGCTATAAATGGTGATATGTGGATTTCCATATGTACATACACACACATGTAAGTGTGTAACAGCCTGATAGATCCCATTGTTCCCAATTTCTCCTCTTAGGCCCTCCTGAGCAGGGTGCTCAGGTTGTACAGTTTCAGTCACAAGAGTCCGAGCAATTTGTTGAAGCAGAGGCTGTTTATCAATACTCTGATGAAAAAGGAAAGGTCTCAATCTCAGCCCTAAAGCGAAGTATTAAATATTTCAGTCCAGTGTGCCAGTGCTGTAACTTGGGCTGCAGAAAAAAAAAAAAAAAAAAAAAGCTATTCTTTTGGAGAAGAACAGCATTTTTAGAGCCAGAGATGCTCCTTACTTGAATAAACCCCGTGAATATATTTGAATAAAGCCCAACGAAACAAGATAACCTGTAACCCTTCAAAGACTTACGTCTTCTTTCAAAAACTTTTTTGTTGTTGTTGGGTTTTGTGTGTGGTTTAGAGGTTATTCTGGTAGATTTACAAATCTAACGTGCTCCTTTCTGCTTCACCAGACTGATATTTCTGCAGTGTTATTTTTAAGATAACAGCTAAGGGCTGCGGGACCCATTCAGAAGTCTCCAGTCCCACAGGACTGAAACATCCCGCAAGTTCTTGCGGCGGAGTTCCTGGGCAGAGCCCGTAGGGCTCCGGGGCAGGGAGAAAGGATGGAGACGGCTTGTAGGGCGCTGGGGGGCATTCGCCCTGTTGCCCCCTTGGTTCCCAGGGACGGTAGATTGGCAGCGATAGGAATGACAAATACTGGCTACAAAGAATTTGGTAACGTGACTGTTCATTTAATTTGCGGGACTCTGGAGGGGGTGAATTACAGCTCTTCCCTCAGCGTGCAGAGCGAATGAAGAAGCCCCCGCGTTACCGGGGCTCCCTCCCGCTGAAGGTCTCCGGGCAGTCTGGTTCGACGGGACTCGCGGGGCCGCAGCCCCGACCCCAGTCTCCCCCGCTACCGCCGCCAGAGCCTCGGCTCGGTGGGAGATGCGGAATACGAGGCAGGGATGGAAGCCAGGCTGCTGTTCTCCCGAGATGAGCTGAAAATAACCCCAAGTTTGAGAAGGATTCATCAATCCTTCGTTCGTTAGGGAGAGCTTCATCCCGGGCATATTTCCAACCAAAACGGAAGGGTCTCCCTTTCCCGGGACAGCCACAGGTTTTATGCCCTCCTCTCGGTGCAATCCGCAAGAAACCTAAGCAACATCGAAAGCTTTACTACCTTGCCCAGATGAACGCGAGACCACCTGAGTTTTGGGGGGAAAAACCCGCAATAGCCTTGAACTACGCGGCACCCGAAGGAATGTTTGAAGTAATGTGACTCTTTCAGTGTATAAGACCGCAAAATAAACTCCCTTAAAATCTACATAGTGGTTTTCTAAAATCTCTTTCCGTCCCTGCCCTGGCCGGGGAGAGGCAAAGCCCGAGGGAGC